CGGGGTACAATTGTTCTGAATAAGCCCATCAATGTAGAAGCAACCAATGTCATAAAATGCCTACTTTGTAGGTCGAGTTTTATGTAGAGCTTGGAATTAACTAGCTGATTAAGTCATAAAGTTATAATCTAATTAGACTTTTATAATCATATTGCCTAACTTACTAGGTTTCCTGAATAGCACGGAAACTAATTACATGTTTTAGCAAATTCATTAATTTTTAAACCTTAGAATTCATTAGAAGAAGGGATTCTTTTTTAGCCAAAAAAATTAAAGAAGCCTAAGAGGGAGAAGGATAAAGGATGGAGAAAGGTGCATCATGTAGCTCTGCTGGATGGCAGTAGTAGAGCTGGAAAGCAAGTGAAGGGCTGGGATTGTTGAACAGTTGATGAAAAACAGCCTTTGACCTTCTCCTCTTCTACTCTCAATTTCCCACAATTTGCTTTCCGCCACAACCTAACATGGGCAATTTTTTTAACTTGGGGGAAGCATGGCAGGTGGGGAGGAAAGGGGGGAGGTTGGGGGGGAACAGGAGCATTGACAAAGAAGGGAAGGGGAGAGGGTTTAATACACAACTGTTTGCTGGTGCTGGACTTCCCAGGGCAGTGGCATGGGTGGTCCCTGGTGTCCTTGGCCCACAGCTTGATGACACAGCAGGGTTCCATGCCCAAGGTAAACCCAAATGGCCTCAGCACCAGCCCTGGGCAAAGCCTCTTCCAGGCTTGCTCTGAGGCCTCCACTACCACGGAACTCAGCTGTTCCTCACTGGCACACTCCCCTTTTTCTGGACATCTGCCCCTGTCCACTCAGAAAGAAGAAGAGCAGCAGTAGAAGGGATGGGAAAGAGCCCAGGGCAGCCATGTGTTCCTGCAGGGTGTGTCAAATCCTCTTGGCATGTGACTGCCTAAGGTTCTCCTTCCCTTCCCTCCTGCTTCTGCTCTTCTTTGGTCAACAGCATAAGCTGCCTCTTGAAGATGCGCTCCTCAGGGAGGTACCTTCCTGGAGCAGCTTTCCAGTGAAGAGGAGGTGAGGCAGAGGAGCCACCCTCCTCATCACCATGGGTGGAGGAATGGAAGAAGAGGGGCATGCCAGTGAGGAGAAGCTGAATCCCATGGCAGTGGAGGCCAAGGTGCAGGCCAGAAAGAGGCTCTGTCCAGGGCTGGTGCTGAAGCTGTGTGTGACAGCCCTAGCCCTCCTCTCAGTATAAGAACACAGTGGGCTATCGTGTCCTCATGTTGGGAGTATAGTGTGAGAGAGGAGGGCTTGAGAAAAGAGCCCAAAAGGCCGCATCCAGCCCGCAGCTCTGGGTTTGCCCATACCTGGGTCATACACTATGAGGGGTTTGATGTGGTTGAAATTATAAAGCTGGAGCTAAATTCCATTCCTGCCTTATGTCTACTTAGAAATAAATCTAATTAAAACATCTGTGTGCTTATTATTAGTCACAGAGTACTGAATACTTGGATAGTTAAGTGGAATGTTTTCATCATTCTTATCTCCTAGCATTAAAGCTAGTTTCTGAGTAAACAGGGAGACAGCATGGGTTTTGTTAAATACTTCTTCTGATTCAATAATAAAAGTTTCAACCTCACAAAACTCTTCTAGATTTTCCTGATCTCTTTGCTTTTCTTCCTCTCCATTCTCATTCTGCTTTTCCTTCGCACCTTTTACACTAGATCACACACTTTGAGGAGCTTCATAATTTGAGTTTCGAGATCAAAGATACTACAAGCTAAATTCAAACTCTCTCAACCCTCACCATTTTTTAAAAGTCTATTCAGAACTAGGTCCCATTGTGTGGGATGAGTAAAATGCGTGTCCTACCACTGCCCTTTGGAAATCATGTTTCTTGATAGCATATGGAAAGGTGGAAAACATGTAACGATTCAGCTGTGTAGAAAGCCTGTTCTGAATATCTTCATAAGCTTTTTAATAATTGATTAAAATTCTCTACATTTGATTAAATGAATGATTTTTTGAAAGCCAGCTGCTGATTACCACAGTTGTGATGAATCAGCATCCTTTAGCTGGAATTAACATGGTACTATAACCCTTTGACACAGTGGTGAGAACAATGAATTATTCTTGATGTGGTTGTGCTATAACTTTTAACATTCCTAACCAGCACAGTAATGAGTGAATAATGGTGGAAGTTGCAGTTCAACAACATCTGGAAAGTTTCCACCCCTACTTCAAAATTATTCTCCATTACTAACATTTGAGTCTCTTTTAAGAGAGCAAAAGTGGCATACAACAACAGCAAC